GCGATGTAATACTCGGCTTAGATGAACACGATGGATGATCGCAGCTGTTGGTGAGGACGATACCAAAAGTCGGCAGCTAGCCGAATCTATGCAAGGGTTGTTATTATCTCGTACGGCCGCGCGAGTGAGAGAGGAGCGGACCCAGAAGAGGGGCCAGGGGACGTGTAATTTGACGTTTAGCGATTTAAACGTTTGTCTGTGATTACAGCGACACATCTATAATCTACGCGCGCACAGTCGGTCTCTTTTCGGGGGCACCCTATGCGTGTGCAACGCACGCACGGCGGCCGAAAGACGCAGCAGCTGCCTCATCGACCGGAGGTGAATCTCCTGGCGTGGCGGGCGGATTCTCTCTCTCTATCTATTTATCTATCTCTTCCATCTATTTTGTCGATCGCATCTTTTTTTATCGCCAAGACGCTCTCTACGCCTGGCAGTGTGCCGGCGCTATCGCCGATGCAAATCAGAACTCTATTCGTAATGGGAGTAGCGTTTTGGTCGTGTTCGAGTGGTCCGCCAGACTCTCCTTCGGATAAAAATGGAAATCAAATTACTGGGCTAGATGCACAACCAAGTGAACGACCGGTTTCGCCGAGTGAATGACCATTGAATTTAAGCTTATCTATCTGCGATCACACACGCGTAAAACTATGTTGAATCCGAATACTTCTGATGATAAAGATAATATTTTGCAAGGATATCGTCGCTCTTTTATGATTTCATATATTTAATATGTAATGTTGTGATAAATAGTTATTGTAAGTAGTCTATAATACTTTGATTTTATGTTTTATGCTACGAAAAATGATCAGAAGAATTCTTCTTTAAACGCGTGTTATCGTTTAATTAGTATCTAAGATTTTTAAGAAACGCATTTATGTAAACATAGAATTTTAAATTTTTTATAATCACTGACACTCGATTTATTTCGCAGAATCATCGAAAAGAATAATCGTCCTAGTCGGTTTCGAGCGTTTTGTACATATTAAAGTTCCACGTAATAACAAGTATTAATCTCTATGCTAGTTTCCATTGGTCGAAAATTAGCGAGGCGCCTACAAATTTACCGCAAACCTTTCCTCGTTTTACGGAAATCTGCTGGCGCTGTTCGTATCTTCGAGCGACAAAAACATTCGGGCCCGTGAGAGACTTCGGCCGCTGTTGGTCCCGTCAGCGTCATTCCGTGCGCTATGGTGCCGGATACTTGGTGGAAAGGAGAAGGGGGAAAGGGGGAGAAAAGGGCCGGACCCGGCTTTCTCGCGACCGTTGGCGTGATACCCTTTTTCGACAACGACCATCCTCGAAGGCCTCGGCTCGGTATCACACGCTTCCCTCTCCCCCTCGATATTTCTTACCTACCTACCTACCCCCTCAATCGTGCTACGCAAACCTGAGTTCGGCGTAAGTGCGAATTCTTTCTTTTTCTCTCGTTTCCTTTCGTTGGGCGGACGTGATTACTGGGAGGCCGAGGAGTTCTAAGCTGCTGCTCGTTTCTCCGGAGCACGGACATCTCTGCGGAGGAGGAGATGGAAGAGAAGAAAGAGAAGAAGAAGAAAAGGAGGAGAAAGAAGGAAGAGATGGTTGTTGCGATGCTACAGAGAAGAGCGAGAAAGATGCGCCCGAGTGGAGGGATGGGGGAACGGGAGAGAAGCAGCAGCGATCGGCGGAGGGTCGGGGGTGTACAAGAGCAGAGGTTACTTTTAATGTCTCGCGTCACGCAGCCCAAGGCACCGTGAGCCTCGCCTCGTCCTCCTTACTAATTTGGCGCCAATTTCCAGGCAACCTCCCGAGCAAAAACTAACCGAACCATATACCGCTCTCCACTCCCCTCCCCCTTCCCTCCTCTCGCGGTATACGTACACGTGTATATCGTGCACTTCGACGCGGGGCTCTGATTAAATGCTACTTCGCCGCGTTTCGAGTCGTATCCTCCTTTCTCTTTCCTTCTTCTCGCAGCCTCCCTCTTTCTCTCTTTCTCTCCCCTATCTCTCGGGCGGCGCGGTTTCCCACACTGCACGGACGATGTGATACGGGACGGACGGGGGTTGCTCGTCGCGCAGCACGTGTGCGTGCCGGCTACGGAACGACCGCGGCGCGTATACGCGCACGGATGATGCTCCTTTGGCTGTGCCGCTCGGATCACTATTTTTTTCTGCCGTCCTCGCAAGGCGCGCGCGCGCCTTTCCGGGGAGTCAATGAACGAGATCGCAAGGCTAAACGTTAAACACGAATACACCAGCGTTAAGCGATCACGCATAGCCTACGTGTAGAATATCTCAACTATCGGGAGTATCTGTCTTCCGCATAAAAGTAAAAAACTATAATATCGTATAAAATTACACCAGCGAATGATATAATTACTCTTTCAAAACTTTATATTCTCTATACATAATTGTTTTTAGCTTGTATTCGCATAAATTTTCTTATTTATTTAAAAATTTAATTTGTTTATATATCAAACTGGAGGGAACTGTTATTTGAAGTATTCTACAAAATGATGCGCCTGAATGAAATGTTACAACTGATTGAAATATCGCACGTAAACATGGATAAAGGAATCAGGTGATTCCTCTCCGTGCAAAGTGCATGGTGTAGCGTCACCGCCTTCCAGATTCCCACGCGAATCGGTCTAAGCGTCGGAAAGACAACGCCGCTCGTTGTTCACCGGCACTCGTCGATAACGCCGATCGTACGCGGTCGTTGGGTTATGCAAATACAAATCTCAGCGGGCGTCACTTTAATGGCGAAACGACGGCGTTCGGCCAGCGCGAACGACGCCGCGAACGAAGCGAGTGCTCTCTTCGGCTGCGGATACGCGAGGATACGAGATCAGACAGTCTCAAGGTAGGCAGTCAGTCAGTCAGTCAGATTGCCGGTCAGAGAGGGCAGCCAGGACCAGGTCGAAGGGGAGGGAAAGAAAGAAAGAAAGGAAGGACAAAACGAAGAGGGA